CTAGATTGTCACTATCACCTTGTAAACATCTTTCAGTCACAGAATAAATTGGTCTCACCCACATTCGTCGTTTTTTCTTATTACGAATCGACTTTAGAAGCAAAAATAATTTTAATATTGCAATTCGGATTCGTTCTTTTTCAAAAATAAACATTGATTTTTTTACAATATCGTTTAAGTAATGCAATGGTTGAGTATTTCAACATCAATTCTTTGCCTGCCATCCTGAGAAAAGTTTCCCTACCAAACTACTTCCAGCAGTCGAAGAAACTGTCATAGCAGTCTATTTCACCGGATAGGGGGCTTATGTTCACATGCAACGCAATAGAGCCAGCAGGATACATAAGCCACTGTGAGAGTGAAAGAGAGGTGCGCAGATAACACCTCTCTCTCACTCTCACGGCGGCTTATGTATCCTGCTCCCTCCATGTGAACATAAGCCCTCCCCACCTGAAAAAGAAAGACGGAATTCCGTGTGTGATTACTTCTGTAATGCCTTCAGGACAGCCATGTGGCATTACAATTATGGTTTTACGTATGGCATTACATAAGGGGTTTTAGCTTGGTAATGCCATATGTAATTCCATTTGAAAAAACACATAGAATTACAAATTGGAAAAAGGAAAAAAATTTTGTCATCTAGAAATAACTGCAGAATACTGTAATGCGTCATTTACTGTGTACAATTAGTGTTACCATCAGGATGATAACTCCAAAACAAGGGGATTCAAGTTATATTTCAGAAATAAAAAAAAAAAATCGAAAAATTAAATTTTTTCTTATAGAAGTAAAATCAGCTGAACCCCCTTGTTTTGGAGTTATCATCCTGATGGTAAGACAAATTACTAATTGCAAATAACTTATTATGGTATTTTGCAGTTATTTCTAGATGATATAGAATTCCATGTGTTTTTCCATATGGAATTACATATGGCATCACCAAGCTAAAACCCTTTATGCAATGCCATATGTAAAACAATGTGTAGTGCCATATGGCTTTCCTGAAAGTATTACAGAAGTCATTCTACATAGAATTCCGACATTTTTTTTCAGGTGCGTCTGACGCAGCGAAATAGCTGTCATTGGCTGTTTCTATGCTGCTCGTTCTATTGCGTCGGTCTATTCTGCCCCATGTGACTGCAGCCTAGGAATAAATCACAATTGAGTCTTTTTTTTCACTACGTTTTAGGGATGTGGGGTTATGTAGCTATAACGCAACTAGATTTAAAGGTCAAAGGATTAAAAAAATATTTATTTTACGATTCCAAAGTTAAAACGGACATTTCGATTGAAGTTTCTAAAATCCAAGATTAAAACGCGTTTAAATCTACTGTTTACTACGTTTTGAGGTTATAGAGTTATCAGGCTATGAGATAACTAATATAGGAGTTTGTAGAGTTCAATAATGGTATATTATAGAAGAATAAAAGTAAAAATAGGTCAAAACTAAAGTTTCTGAGTTACAAGATTAAAACGCGGTATAAGTCTCTTTTCTACTACGCTTTGAGGTTATTGAGTCATGTGGCTATGAGCTCACTAGATTTTTAAGTTACGGGGTTGAAGAGATGTTGTTACAAGATTCAGTTTTAAAACAAAAAAATACTTTTATAAAAGATTCCGAGATCCATGATTAAAACCCATATGAATCTTTTTTTCACTTGTTTTTAGGTTATGGGGTTATGGGGTCATGAGATGTTGAGGTTATTTAGTATTTAAAACTTAGGGTTATCTATTTTTACACAACATCATTTAAGATTTATAAAGATGATTGGTTTTAATCGCGTATTGGTTTAGCAATGACGAAATATATTAGTTTAATCGTTGAATTTTGAAGTTATGAAGAATCCAGACGTGATAGAGGAAATTAAATTACGGATTCGTTTCCAGTGACCCAAAAAACATAGTGAACCTATTCTGATTCAAAGTACATTCCGATTGTTTTTTTGTGGTCGTGTGAATTGATAAAAAAAGACTAATATTTAAAAAAACTTACTTCTTTTATTTTTAAAACTTAATTGATTTGAAATAGATCAAAAGTAACATGCTTTAATTTTGAAACTCAATTTTAGTAGAGTTCATGATAACTACAGTGAGCTTAGACTACTAAGAGTCAGCACTCTGTTCAGTCTAATTTTGAAATCGTTTCGTTCAACTATTGCGGAAAAGAATTGTTGCTGATAAAGATTCAGCAAGACGGGCGGTTAACTCAATTTAAAATGACTTATTTTATGCATTCATGCTAGCAGGGCTATTTTCCGACCTTGAAACCAGGAGACAGTAATTTAGTCATTATTTTCAAGTATAATTCGAATTTATTCGCTGTTATTATCTACTTTAGTTACTATCCTCCCCTTGCACCACGGTGATTTGGCAGCCGCATTTTTATGAAAAGTGCTGCATCTCAATGGTCCTCGTCAGATTTTTGAAAATCAAAATTCCTATTTTTAGTTTCGTGAAAAAAGTTTGGACTTGTGAGGCCTTAATTGCTTCGCAGACTACACGGACTTTCAAATTACAATTTAAAAAACTTCGTCCTTTATATGTATGTACTTCTGATCCTAGAAAGTTAAAATATCTTTGGAAAGAAATTACAAATTGCGTGTACAAGTTAATCTGGAAATAAAATGAAACCTTACAAAGAGAACTTACACAAGGTCACAAAGTGCTATTGAACCGACAATGTGTAAGAACATCTAAATTAAATGACCTCAGAAACTTTATACTAACAAGATTACTGAGATCACCTTCTTGGCACTTTAATATCTTTTGTTAAAATGCGGCACAGTTCTAAAAATGTTTTTTAATCTAAAAAGTTTTTGTGTGAAATCTATGTATTGAATGAAAATATTGAAATGAGATCTTAAATTTACGAAAGCATCCCACAATAAAATTTTGAATGCATCTTTAAAAATAAATTCAGTTCGGGTATTTCCGAGGCCAACGTCATATAGAGCTAAGATTTTCATCAGGTCCATTAGAGAGAAAAAATACTTTGAAAGGAAAGGAAATAACCTTTCAAAACAACAAAAATTTCAAGTATTTCAAAGTCTAAAATACAGTTAAAACTAACCTTAAATATTTCAAAAATATTTTGAAGTATCTTCAATAAATAAAACAATTAAAAAGCCATGTATGAAGTGAATGTTTTTATTTCAATAAAAGATTGTCGACGTTTCGAGGCCTCAAGGAGGCCTCTTCTGGATACACTAACCTGTAAATTATAAATAATAAATTGATAATATAGTATTTTGTTACCTCAATTAGACAACAAAACTTAAAAATATTGTAATTTACTATACATACAGCCCCGCCTGTGTAAGTGCTGCAGGTACTCCCCACAACTTGCAATCGGCATCCAAACTTTAACTTATAGATTCATTCGTTAAAATAATCATGTATGTATCATAAAAAAGGTTGTAAGGTTTGTTATGTTGGACAAAACTCTAGACAGTTATCAGTTAGAAAGAAAAAAAAAAAAAAAAAAAACATAAATAATATTTTTGATGATGATCACAGATCAGTTTTGGCAAGACATTGTAGAGAAGAGGCACATTCGTTTGATTTTGAGAAAATGAAGGTCTTAGATACGGAAGAGTCTGGGTTCAAGAGGGAGTTTTGGGAATTATTACACACTTTTTGCCACCTTAATAGTATTAATAAAAATTTTAACTTAAAAAACGTATTTAAATCGTACTCAACTTTTATGCAATTGATGTACAAACATTCCGGCAAAGGCTTTATAATAAACATTTTTACAGTAGACCTGCTGGCTAAATCAGATGTGTGATACACCTTTATGCGCGGGTGTATATGGAATGTTGCATTTTTAGGACTATAAAGGAGCTTCTAATCAGGAGGATGGCTTGCTAACAGATTCGTAGACTGAAAAAATTGACTGTATATATTAAAAAATTGCATAACATCGATGATGTGTTGGTAGTCTATATTACCGATATCGAATAGTGGGAAATGCTTGAGGCACCTACACAAGTGGGGGTGGGGTTCTATTAAGGTGCACAAAAGTTTGCTTTTTTCGACATATTTTTGTCATTTTCACATGCGCCAGTGTAAACTTTCGTGCACCTTGATAGAACCGCTGAATGCATAGTAGATTGACATATTCTTAAGTTTTATTGTTTAATTAAAATAACAAAATGTTATATTATCAATTTATTATTTATAACGTACAGGTTAATATTTCTAGAAGAGGCTTCTTTGAGTGACAAAACGTCAACAATCTTTTACATTTTATTGAAATAAAAATATTCGCTCCACACACGGCTTATTTATTATTTCATTTATTGAAGATACATACCCGGAGTTAGAGAAGAAAAAAAGAAGAACCATGAAGATATTTTAAAATAATTTGGAATCAACTTTTTTCAGACATATGCCACTCGTTATCATTTGAAGCAACGAGGGTACCAAAATATTCGAACACTTGATTTTAAAGCAAAATTAATACTTTTCTGACAATCACTGCTACTATCCATGTTACTCTAAAAGACTTACATTTTGAGTACGCACTTTTTTAAAGAGCATTTTCAATTTCTTTTTCCTAGGTTTTTCCAAAAAATTTTCTTAACCGTTTAATTTGACGTGGGATTCCTCATTTACATACATATTGCATGAGTGCTAGTGAACACACGCTATTCACATGTGCAAAAGTGATTTTACGTATTGACGCAAACTTAGTAGCTTTTGTTTAAAAGTAGCTAGAATGATAAGAAAAAATAGTAAATTAAGTATAGGCAAAGTAAGAAATTATTAAGCCTTGATATTCCTTGCGTAGACGCATTCGTACGTAAGTAATAACGTACGTACGTGTGTTAGAGTTTTTTGAATATAAATACAAACAAATAGTAAATATGTATGCAGGATTAAAAGCTTTGATTGGCGAACTACAACCTTTATAAGTAATAGCAAATTTCATAAGAAATTGCAAACAAAAAAGATATTAAAAGATTTGTGAATATTAATAACAGTAAAAAAAAGTCCACCTGTTACTCCTGTTTTAGAGTAAAAAAAAGTAAACCACTCTTCAGGTATAAACCCATGACGAACAGGTGAAGGATATTCTGATCGGATTGGTCTTTCACTTCCAGTCACAGTGGATAAAACTCGAGGCTGGAGAAGTAATCTTGCTTTAGATATTTGTTTGCCTGTAATTAAAAAAAAAGTTTCAAGAACTTATCAAAATAATATTTTTCTTTACCAATTTTTTATTAAGAATTTACCTCCTTTAAGTATATTAACGTTACGGTTTTCATGAAATTAGATATTTACTTTTAATATTGCATGATTAAGCTTCCAATACAATATTTAAACACTTTACAGCTTCTGAAGCAAAATGTTAACGAAAAACTTTTATTGCACTTATCATGGCAGCTTATAGTAGACTGATAGAATTAGACTTTAAAATGACTACGCGTTGTAAAACCAACGATATCTCCGGAACTAAGCATCAGAAATTGATGTTTCTTTTTTTAATTTGGGGTAGCTTTCAATAATATTGAGATTACGCGTATCGACATATTAATAAAAATAATAATAGTCATGGAAAAACGGTACTTCTGAAAATTATTCTACTAGTTGTTGCAAATTTTAGTACTTTTGTAATAGATATTACATATTTTCATTTCCTGACTGTATGTATGTCATAATTATTGTCGGCATTGCAATAAATACATACAGGAAATAAGTTTTATAATGCGTTTTTAGCCACGTACGTTAATAGCCTCCCACTTATGATGACTAATGTTTCGTTAAATGTTGAAAAGACATGTGATAAAATCGATATATTTCGCTGAAGGGTTTATGAAATAATTACATAACATCCTACGCAAATAATTCTTATCTCAAATCACATTTTACTGAAAAAATATACATCACAAATATTAATTTACATACTAGTTCACGAAACATTGCAACTCAATTTGCAACTAGTAGAATAATTTTTAGAAGTACCGTTTTTCCATGACTATTATTATTTTTATTAATATGTCGATACGCGCAATCTCAACATTTTTGAAAGCTACCCCAGATTAAAAAAAGGAACATCAATTTCTGATGCTTAGTTCCGGAGATATCGTTGGTTTTACAACATGTAGTCATTTTAAACCTACACGCTCGAAAGTGCACCGAGCGCTCAGCGAGGAAGTGGGCGTTGCCTAATTCGGCGGCTCGCCCCACGTCGCGCCTCTTTCGAAAATCACTGTTTTTCGATGCAATTTTAACAGTACTTCTAAACAAGATGGAATTATGAAATTTTAGCATGTTGAACACTAACTCTTGACGAAGAGCAGCGCGTTTGACAAATGGCCGTAAGTGGTCTCAAAACTTTTTTAGAGCCATTTTTCGAAGGGACCATTTTTTCTTCAACACGACGGTTTGCAAAAACTATTAATTGTATCATCTTCAAATTTGGAGCATACGTTAAGGACTACGAAAATAACATTGTATCAAATTTTTAGCTCTTCATATCCAAATGGGACTGAGTTCTGAATTTTTCAAAAAACGGCCAAATTTGCGGTTTTTTGCAATTTGCAAAAAAAACTATTTAATGAAATTAATTTCAACAAGGCTACTTTTGTGCGGCTTGGAAAGGCGCATCTTTTTTGTACTCAACTTTTTTTTCCATCTATTACTGTTTTCGATTTATTCGCGATTTAGGTGATTTTGGCACTTTTACCATTTTTTTTGGGCACTTTGCTGACAAATTCAGAGGTTCGTTTTTGGTTGCAGCAATTTCTACCACTTTCATCTCGCTAATCCAATTTTTTATTCGCTTATAGGAATTAATTTTTTTTTCAATGATGTAAGATCTAATTCTATCAGTCTAATAGAGGTTTTAAAGTGTCTCTGTTACAACTAATGATGTCAACATATTCATTGTCAAGATTAGACACGGATTCATTGTACAAGAAAAAATACATTAAAGAAATAATCCTTCAAATAATATAAGATCAGCAGTAATAAAGTGACACAACTGTACTTCCAGCTATTATATATAATGATATAATGGTTTACAAAAGGTAACTTATGCCAACCTTACATGATTTAAGGATATGTGCTAATAACATTAGAAAATTATGCGGACTGTTAGCATGTGTACCATTTTGTCTTTATGAAAATCCTAATAAGGTTTTTTTTCACAAATGTCGACATAAGACACCTTCGGTATTATGTATGTATATATATTATTAGTATTAAAACTTATGCTGACACTGAAAACATGAAAAGCAAGCAAACAAAACGGGATAAGTCTGAATAAGTGAGTTTGTACGTATGTACGTAGATCTTATCATATTAAATAGTGATTTTGGAGGATCAATCAATACATGCCCCTTCTACCACTCTCTGGCCAGGCTACTGAATAAGGAAAAATTATATCAGTTTTTACGTAATTTCTTATGGCTAAAATTTTTACTAGCCCCCTTTCACCCGTCAATAGACCTCGCCCAATTTTACACACTATTCCTACCGCCCCCTTCAGCCCCCCACTAAATAAGGTTTATTTCTATCGGTTTTTACCTTGTTTTTATTAGGTTAAAGTTTTGTTTAGCCCCTCTCCACACCGCTTGCAATTTAATAACTCAATAAGCTGCCCTCACGATTTGAAAGAACTTCCTTTAGCCGCATCTCTAAATGAGGTAAGATTATATCGGTTATTATGTCATTTCTAGTTAAATTACTATTTGCACCTCCATTAAAGAAATCTCCCTCAGCCCCCTCACAGTTTCTAAACACATTTGTTCTAGCTCTCTTCAACCACTTTATACCACTTCTTTAATAATTATTTTATCTTTATTATTTGTTAGTACATTGCTACACTAGCCTTGAATTGGTGCTATGGCACACAGGTTTTTTTATTCTTGAATTCTAAGTTGATTAATTGGATTATTAAACATGTATAAGAATATGACATAATATTTTCGTACTTGATTAAAAAATAGTGAATAATTTTATAAAATATTTAAACCATGGACCTCACTCGTAGGTTTATTTCCCCTGAAAAAGTTAAAATCATCTTTCCCTCTTTATTGAAATATGTCAAATATTTTAACAAAGTTAACCATTTTCTCTTTAACCTAAGCAAAGCGCAACGTACAATAGAAAAAAATTTATATTTAATAGAAACTTCATATTATTAAAAACCTTAATGTACATATCATTCTAAGACATATGTATTTATGTTCTGATTTAGTGTTTCAATATTACAAACATAATTTTCAAAATAAACCAGTAATTTGAAATTTTTTTTTTTAATTTTATATTATTTAATATAACAAAACAATATGTACGTGTAATTTTGATTTTTTCTAATGTAAACATTGTAAAGTAGTTATAAGAATTTACTTTGTTATGTCATGAATTAATGTTAAATAATAATTTCATTAAACTCATTCGTTTATTTATTGTTTAAATAAACTATGCAATAATATCACACCACCATATAGCTATGCGTGCGTTCACCTCTGCTGGCCTGGGCCGAAAACGTAGAGTAATAGAAAAGAGAAGGGATAGAAAAAGGAGAGCGAAGCAAGAGAGTAAAAGAGAAATTTTCTAGAGACGCGAGAGCGAAAGGATAAGGCCCACGAGACTGGAAGACACGCGCAGCTTCTTTCGAATACAAGTTGTGCTGATAAAGTATATCTTAACTACAAGTCACGCTTTTATTTATTCCCGCACCAAGAAACCCACATAACTGGTGTCAGAAGTGGGATACAGACGAGAGTTTTTAAAGTCTATCACATGCGCAGAAACCGCTTTGTCTCGCGAAACAAAAAAATTTTCTCTTGTTAATCAACGTAATAAAAAAATTAAAAAAAAATATTGCTCATCGAAAAAAAAAGTGTCATAAGTGCCCGACGCCAAATTCAGCGAGTCAAGCTCCACAATGTAAGGAAACTGGAGAAAGTGGAGGAAGAGAGAGAAAAATAATTGAAAAAATTCCTCAACACTGCTGCTAGACCAGTACAGCAATAGAGAAAATAACTGCAAATCAAGCAAGGGGACCAATACACCAGAACACTAGTAGAGGCAACTACTAATCACTAAATCCAGGGAAAAACGGACAGAAAGCGAACACAATACGCCGAGCCTGGATAGCAGCCACAGACGGGATACGGGATACATCACACAAAAATAAGAAACAACGAAGGCAAGTGAAGGCAGGCCAACTGTAAATTTTCATTGTTTCTGATGTATTACACTCATAACCACGAGGGAAATACGTCCTCAGAGAAATATTTCATATGCATCGATGTTATTACTAAACCGGAAACTGTAAGGACATTGGTAGGAACATATAATTGCATGCAAAAACATGTACCTTATATGATAAGCAATCCCATACAAAAAATCAATTCATAAATAAACAAATAAAAGGAGTAATTATTACGCTAATTAAAAGTGCGGATACCCATCAAGCAAACCCAAGATACACAACAACGAAAGCGTCTCAGAATTGAGCACAAAAATATACAATCTAACAAATCCAACTATACACAAAAAAACAGAGGCTTAAATAATGGGAATCATGGAAGCGAACGATGTATCAGAGGAAGGAGGACGAAAATACGATAGGCGCACGGACATACACGAAACAGGACGGGACGATAAAGACGACGACTTGATACAAATTAAGCTAGAACAGAATGCGGCATTATGGGGGGGTGACAGAAGGCCAATTAAAAAAAAGCTGTTTATGATAAAGATAAAAAAAATCACACGTAATATAGTAAGACAGAAAACGAATCCGGGAAGCCAGGGAGCCTCAACGGACACAGTACAGCGGGAAATTTTTCCTACTGCGGAACACGGAGCAATCTTCAAAATAAAGTATACATTAGCCTCATTGATCCAAAATAACAGAAGTAGTGATACGAATGACTTGACAGCGGTTGCAATCTGGGCAGGGACATGGAATTAGTTGAATAGTTGGGAGCAACTCCTGTTTTCCCAAAACAATAGCGGAACAGATAGGGACAACAATTTAGTTGAAAATCATAACGTACGCAATAAAATAGATGCACGCGAATTCGTAGTTACACATTATTCACGGCAAACGGGCGATGGACACAAAGACATGCAAAATCACGTCCTAGAATCACCGGAACACACTTTACATCAGACTCACACGCGCGGGTTACAAAACTCC